AGTTTGGGTCTCCGAATTGCATTCGAATCGTGTCACGTGACCCCCGAATTGCCCTCGAATCGTGGAAAAACTTAGAAATAAAGAAGCTAAATTTTCTTGTCGACTGCCTCGAGTTTCTAAAGAGCCGCGAGGCTCGAAGAATCGTGTGTCAGCGCGACTTAATATTCTCGCACACATCTGCGCGTTTCGATTCGAACTCCAAACATTTCTGGTAAAAATTTCTGTATACAGTGTACACTTTTATGTATTATATCGCGAACGGCGAACAGATAATAGGACAGCACCGGCACAATAACGGATCACTTTATTTCGGAGTGCGAGTCGAGATTGAATACGTAAGGTTAAGGGGGACAGACGGTCCGTGCAGACGAGAAAGACTTATCAAAATGGAATTCCGTCCGGAAGCGTAGGAAAAGTGGCTTCGTGTATGATGGAACCCCAACAGGTGTTCAGGGGCTGGAATAGTCGGCATAATGCCTTTCAAATCAAGTCGGAAGCCCGGATTTTCCGCGCGTTCGCATGCAAATGCATCCTTCCGATGGACGGATCGCGTGTAAACATCGCGCGAGCGGATTATTCGCGTGTTACGGACCTGTCATCGCTGCTAATCGATTTTTCCTCGGCCCGCACGAAGTCATATCCTTCGACTTGCCGACTTCGACGTGCTCGGACGTCCTGTCGCGATCTTATCGCGAGATTTTTCGGCTCGGATGCGATCGAAAGTCAACGTGTACCGAAGATCGTAACGATCCTAATCGGTATGGATCGTTCGGAAGACATCGATCGTCGTAAGGATCGTTCTGCAACGATTATAGTTTTTTAGCTGCGAGTGTGCTTAAGACTTTGAACAGGACATTTCTATTATTTTATAAAAGCTACGTTCATTGCCGATAAAAGTTTATGATGCGAGAAATATTAAAAAATTTGCGGCTCGATTGTCCTGGAAGATATTTTTCGCTCTAGTAATAGTAATAGCAAAAATACTAATAGCAAAAATACTAAACAAAACGACCCGTACTTTAATATATTAGTCTGTGTGACTTTGTATTATAATATAATATTTTGTGCACTCGTTCACCGAATAATGCGTTGAATGCATTCGTAGTCATTCCTCGTGACATAAGTGTCACGGTAAAACAATTGAACAACAACTCCGGTTCCCTGTCGCAACAAGCTAACAAATTGTTAAGGACTTCTTTAGTCTAGATGAACGTGCATACATTATGTCCTCGCGCGTCGGATAGCTTAAAGTCATATTTACATAACCATTGTTGCATAACTGCAAAGCTATTTACTGTATCAGTATATGCAATACCCGGAGTCATAGTTATAGCGACTATTAACTAGCTCGCGTTGTTCTATTTCGTTGAGTAACCTTATCTTTTCAAAGTACTGAATTAATTCAAGGCTCTTTTTTCAATGCCCGCTAATATTTTTAGATATTTCCTCATACTATTCATAGTTTTTCTTTCGTCCGCCATTGCTGGTAGAATTTTCTTTCGATACCTGTTTTCGAGTGATTTTCTCGAAGGATCGGTGCAGTGCAAATTAAATTTTGGAGCTCCGAGTTGAAGAAGCTTCGTGCTCTATAATTCTGTGAGTTCTGTGTTCGATAAATTAACGAATTCTAGAAAGAATAGTGCAGAGGAGAAATCATTTTTTTTTTAATCATTGTTAGAATGGAATACTATAAATAATGTTGTATTTTTCATAGATCAAGAGTGACAATTATTTGAATATTCGTTACGAAACAAAAGGATTAACAAAGTCGTATTTGTTATTCAACATCGAACTATGAATCGAAAATGAAACGAAAAATAAAAGAAATTGTTCAAGAGACCAGGCGATATTATTTATATATTATTTATAAGCAAAAACGCTTTCGTCTCGAGGTAACAATCGTCGAGCAACGACTCTTTAAATATCGATTGCAATTGTTACGCGGTCCCTGCTACGTATTTCGGGAGGCAAGAATAGTTTTCTTGAAACGGTGTTCCCCGCCAATGGACGGAAACCGCTGGGAAACAGCGACGCTGATCAATGAGTACGCCCATAATGCAACAAGGATTTTCCGCCTCATTATTACCGTCTCGTGTCTGAAATATGTGGCCTCGGGGGAGGAAAGAGTTCAATACCGATTCAGCCGTGGAATTTTATTGCGACGGCAAGCCGGAGAAATGAAGACGCCAAGCCGAGCCGGGCCGAGAGGACGCTCAATGTCGAGGTCCGCGCGAGCCATTTTCTTGCGTCGATCTTCTAATTGCGGGACAACCCTTTTACTTGCTCCATCCTCGGAAATTACTTGCACACCGGACGATCCTAATGGATTTTATCGGCGTTCTGCTCCCTGGCGGTTACTTTAATCGAACTCGCTCAAAAATGGACACACGTGACCCTGGAGTACGGAGACGCTTTTAACCAGTTAAGCTGTGTTCGACGAGTATACTCGTCGTGGAGAAATTACTGTATTTTATGTCACGTCAAGCATAACCTTAATTCTGAAAGAATTAGGCGACTATACCTCCGTCAAGTTTCATCGAATTGCAATAAAAATTGGACACACGTGACTCTGGAGTACAGAGACGCTGTTAACCAGTTAGCTGTGTTCGACGAGTATACTCGTCGTGGAGAAATTACTGTATTTTATGTCACGTCAAGCATAACCTTAATTCTGAAAGAATTAGGCGACTATACCTCCGTCAAGTTTCATCGAATTGCAATAAAAATTGGACACACGTGACTCTGGAGTACAGAGACGCTGTTAACCAGTTAGCTGTGTTCGACGAGTATACTCGTCGTGGAGAAATTACTGTATTTTATGTCACGACAAGTATAACCATAAGTCTGAAATAATTAGGCGACTATACCTCCGTCAAGTTTCATCGAATTGCGATAAAACTCGAAAAAAGATATCGTATATTCTTCGAAAAATCTCGCAGAAAATTGCATTGTTTATTGAACGAAAAATAGTGAACAGTCTACAATGTATATATAACGTATACACGTATAATTAACGTAATAACCGGGTAAACGTGATGCAAATTACAGAACGTTTTGCTCGAAAATTAGTGCAAACAAAATACACTTTAATTTACTTTCAGGTGTTGCACGGTACGAATTCAACACGTGTCGACGCGGAACCGCGTTTTTTCCTGGTCGTGTAAATACTTGTAAACACTTCGAGGTCATTTCCATTTTTCTATAAATAAAGCTTCCCGTAATGCGGCACAAAGTCCAAGGTAGCACTTTCTACAATCGTTGAACGACGGTCTATAGTCGTTTCATAGTCTATCGACGAGTGCCGCGCGGACTCGGCTAGAATTCGCGTTGCATTTAGCGTAAGTCTGCCGTTAAATAATTGAGACATCTATTTTTTTTCTTCATGTCGAATGTTACACGTGGGCGCAGCGGACTATAAATACCTGCGCGCCGACATATTAGCGTCGGTCAATTTCGTTGGAGAATCGTCGAACTGTCCGATGGAACCGTCGAAGACGAGACAATGCGTTATCAGTATTCATACGCGACGGATTACGTAAGAATGATACGGGACGTTTCCATTGTGAACGAACTGTGTACTAATGACTTAATCATCATCGACTCTATCTGTCATAATAGCGGTCGCGTGTCAGGGAATCGTTGATTGTTAAACGAGTTATTTTTAGTGACTTTGAGAGATTATCAATCTGCATTGCATTTTCTATATACGGCACAAACAAGATGTTCCATAGAAATAGTTCAGTTACAATTTTAGTAGTTAACAATTTTTAGAAATCGAAGCGATCTTGTTTGTTGCACTGCTTTTATTATACTTGTGCATCGTGCGATTTCATGTTTCTTTCTTTGTTTCCAAATATGTATAATAAACCCTGACATAGCTAGTCCATGTACTAGTCTATGTACTATATACTAGTCTGTGCACATCGATGTGCATAGGAACTATTTAAACATTTAATTGAAAATTCTCAATCTTAAAAGAACCGATTTTTAAAAAATCGAGTGCCATGATTTATGAACGCGTGCCGTTATCCTGACCGCCTACGGGGGAGTATACCCTAACATAACCTCTCGCAGGGTTATTAACTAGTCTATGGACTAGTCTATATACTATATACTAGTCTGTGCACATCGATGTACGTGGAAAATATTTAAACATTTAATTGAAAATTCTCAATCCTAAAATAACCGGTTTCAGATTTTTTAAAATCGAGTGCCATGATTTATGGACGCATGCCGTTATCCTGACCGCCTACGGGGGAGTATAATAACGTAATAAAAACCAATGAACTCGTCTCTCCCTCCCGCTTCCCCTGACAGACGCAATAACAATAAAATATCATGCCTCCGAGGAAGACAATCCCATAAGGATTGGCGTGTTCGTGCCGGGGCCGTGTTTCGATAGGGTTCTGTAACGAATCGCGATGCGCGTCGATATATTTTGCGTAGGCGTTCCGAAAATCCGTTCCACGCGTTTTTTTTTAAATGAACGACACCCGTTCACCACGAATTTCGCAGCGGCATAATTTCCGGACGTCTGTATGCTCCAACGATTTACCATTTAATTTGCAATTCCATCGAGAAGTAATCGAAGATTTTTATCGAAGTCACGTTTTCTTCAAATGCGAATCGAGGAAGGAATAATAATACATTGATGGAACGATAGCTCTTCTTATTTTCTGAATTTTTCCGAGGATTTTCTTACGTATTAAATGACAGTTTAATCGGTGGATAATAATTATTTGAGCAGACGACTGCGGATTTTCCTTTATATTATTATATATTATATGTATATATTATATACGTTATATACTATTATATATTACTATATTATAAATATTATTATATATTTTATGATGACCAAAATGAGTCGTCTATTGGTTACCTTGTAAATTATTACCTCGAGTGTACAAAATATATGGAACGTCGATTTCCTGTTAATATTTATTACAATTCTACGATAATTAATATTCCTCTAATAGATTTAATTGTTCTTGTTGCAGATAGTTTACGAAGTTCACGTGTTCATCTAGGTTATCCAGAAATCACATTGCGGTAAGTATCTAGAAATGTATTCGTAACATTTTCGAATCGTTTAAAAAAACCAAATTAATCAAAACCAAAATCTTACGCCAAATTCTATTTAAATTAAGCGATTGTTTCCAACGTTGTACAGATTTCTCAATCGAAATTAATCATAATCGTTTCATATTCCGTTGTATTTTTATCGAAAAGGTATAGTCGTAGTAATAAATATAAACTTTATTATAGTGCTTTGTCACACACACACACACACGTGCACACCAACATACGACACCCGAACGAACGAGACACATAATCGATAAATGACAAAAAGGGGATTCATGTGCTCGAGCCATAGTCACGAATTGAACGACACATTGATGAACTGACAAATGCCTTTATATTTCCAACACATTCATCTTCTTGCATTCTAAATTCATTGGATTTCATCTGTAAAATCCACTCCTTTGTGATCAAATTCATATTACATTTAAAAATTCTATACGAAACTTCGCCAATAATTATTGCAGAGATTAATTATTCGTGTCGTGATCTCATTTATTTAATAAATAGCTATGCAAAATCATATAAAATTTCACAGTTGAATAATATTTCACAATACAATTAATATATTATTGTGCATTTAATATAACAAACATATTAATTATTTACGAACGAAATTTGTATCATTTTATAAACTATATCGGTCTATATAAAATCGAATAAAAGCCGATTTAGTTGCGTGGAAAAAAGTGCCGATTCGATTTGCGAAAGGGTGAATTTGCTTTTCAAAAGGGTTCATTCGGAACGCAAGAAGATGAAACACGATCCGGCGAGGAATTAATTTTCAGCGCGCTGCGAAATTAATTTTCGTTTTTCACAGGGGAAACCTCCTGTGGTGTCGCTACTTCGCGTATAAATATGTTCGACCTGCTGACGTACGATCCCGGAGAAACTTCTCCGAGTGTAAAAGGGCGAAGAACATTCTTTTTTTTCCGCGCGAAACTTTTCACTTTTCTCCCGGGGCACGGATTTTTCGAAGTTCCCCGTGCTCGCCGTAAATCCCGCGCTAATTCCCCGCCTTGGCGAAAGTATCGCTGCCACGGGGCCATGTAATAGGTCGGCACTCACCTGTGCTTAAGACGAAAAAGACGTCGTCCACCGGGTAATCCAATCTGGCTGTTACTCCATCAATGTGCTCCAAGATGCCGCCGTAAATTGCGGGATCATTGTCGGACAGTGGTTTAGTGCATTCTGTCACGCGAATTTAGCGGCTGCGGCCCCCGCCATTCGCCTAACTCTGGACCCGGCCAGACAAATCGGACGGAGAAATTCAATTCGTTGAAACGGCGACGGAACGCGGAGAATCCTAATTTTTCTATCGCGCGATTGGCTAATTGCTACTTTATCAATCTCGCGGTGCCGGATTAAAAAATAATAACGTTATTAATCGGACGAAGTTCCGCACCCTTGGTGGAAAGATTTTTGTAAAAAAAATCATGCTCCGTCGACTGCAAATTTATCCGATTTGTGGACGAGATTCTAATATTAACTAACCGAGGCGTTCGTGTTATTAAAAACCGTAATCGTCGGCTAGGATTTTTGCGCTCACTTTCTCCTGCTCTTTGTATCTATTATGTTCAATTAAACCAGACGTTTTAAACAATAAATGTCACGTTCGATAAAGCAGAGGTTATAGGTTAATAATAAAATGAGGAAGAATGATGAATATCATAGGAGACGCCTGTTATAATATATTAATAAACGAATAACGAAGATAAAATTAATGCGGACTAACAATTGTGCACGGTAATAATAATTAAGATCGTGCGTTAACATCTTAATTTTAACCCTTCGTTAAAATACACAATTTTAGCAGCTTTGCGACAGCTTTGAAAATTACCTGTGTGTAATTGCAGTATTAACTTAACAATAATACTACAATTAATAATAACAATAATAATAATAATACTGCTACTTAATAATAACTTATTAATAATAGTAATATTTAATTGTACCACGTGTGCGTTAAATAAGTGATTTAAATAACGAAATATTAACAAATATATTGCTGGTTCCTGAACCAATAATTAACGATTCCAATTAAACAACGCATTTTGAGTGTGCAAGTAACATTTTAATAATTGCTATCGCTCATCTCGGGTGAGCGATGTTCAATTCGCGGCGCTAATTTCCAAATAGCCGTGTATTTCATAATTTTCCATTTATTCGGGGGGAAAGTTTGGGAACGATTTTCCCCGAGGAAAATTCGCGTCCATGATTCGCGGCCGAAAGCAATCTCAAGTACACCGCAGCTTTCGTACGAGCTGCAAAATCGACGGAACTAATAATTTTCAGCCACGCTGAACCGTGTCTTCCACACTTTCGATCAATATAACTAACTATACGTGCATACATACGCGCGTACAGCGGAGAATACACACACGCCGAGAAAACTCGGCAACTTGGAAACGTTGTTGCAGCTCACGCAATGTTTGAGCATAGTTGGAATCGATCTTTGGAACTTTTATTGCGCGATATCGTTGTTTAATCGTTAGCTCTGCATCCGCGCCAGAGATTCCGTTCTAATGGAAAACTTTCTTGCCGTGATTCTTCCGGACCGCGTTGTAATCTCCGCTAAAATTGGTGTATATATTTAAACAGTCTCGCGTGCAATGGGTTAACATAATTTATTTGCAATAAAAAATTCGGGGAGAATTTATTTTACTGTACAGTAATGTCTCCCTTACCGACGCTCAAATTGTCCATTAGAATGGATAATTTGGGGGGAGGAGATACGATTATTCGAGCCTTGCGGCTCATTTTCATAATTGTGGACAATTTATAACTATAACAATAATCGTCTCTCTTCTCCCTAAATTGTCTATTTTTCTGGTCAATCTGGGCGTCAATTAGAGAGACATTATTGTACAGTAATGTCCCTCTAACTGACGCTCATATTCTAATTAATTCTAAATTATTCTAGAATTACGGTAATGTCTCCCTAATTGTCGCCGAAATTGTGCACTAAAATAGACAATTTTGCAAGAAGAGACGCGATTATTCGAGCCTTGTGGCTCGTTTTTTATAATTACCGATTGTCAATAACTATAACAATAAACCGCGAGGCTCGAATAATCGTCTCTCTTCTCCCTAAATTGTCCATTTTTGTGGTCAATCTGGGCGTCAATTGGAGAGACATTACGAGAGAAAATATGGAACTCTGTTTGGCTCCGTGCGCAGAATATTTTCCGGGGAGACCGTAATCGCCGGACGGGTTCTTATGGAACAATACGCGGGAAAGGAGAACGGAAGGTCATCGGTAATTTCATTCCGCGTTCCGAATTGATCCGGTTATCACGGGCGAAAGAAAAATTCCCGCGGAACGACGGTTTTCCGGTCCGACGACGGTCCTTCCGGCGGCGCGGCGTCTTGCATAACCAACGACGTCGCCGCTACGGCATCCACCGTCTCGAAGTATCCGCGTTGAATCCATTTCCGGGCCATCGGCGAAGATATTGCGCTCGTGGCAGTCATTAAATCCGCTCGCGGACACGTATCCGCTGTATGGAAAAGAGGACGATGCCGGGCACGGCTGGATCTTCGAACGTGTTCCTGGAAATTCGCGTCCAACCCGTTCGATTTGTTTGTTTTCCCGCGTTATACCCTTACGTAGTTATTATAACTTTGCGCAGTTACTATATAACTTGCACAGTTGCTATAACTCTCTTCCGCGAAATTCGCCGTTTCGCCTTTTCTAAGTGATTCTTAATTTAGAATTTCTTCGTCTATTGCGTCCGAGAGGATTGTCGCGCGTCCGAAAGAGGATTATCGCGTCTCTTGAATGGCTCCTCTGCACTTTGACGATGAGAAAAAAAGTGCCTGATGCAGCAGCGAATTTTTTTGTTGACCGAGAGAATTCGACGCACTCATTTGTAACTTTACCAGGCTTGCTGGTATGTTTTAGCGAAGTGCGCAGTATTTTTTATCGGTTGCAATGTCGATTCAATCCGCAGTTTTACGGCAGTTTTATTGCAGCATTGTTATGCGAGGAAATTGTTACCTCGAGGCAACGGTGTGCGTTGACGTAGGTGATTTTGGAGAATCTCTTTGAAGAAAGCTTTTTCAGGCTTATTAATTATTTGACAAGCGAATAGAATGCTTTTAGATCGACGACGTCGATTTCATTCGAAGTTGTAACAGTTTTATTGCAGCAACGTTGAGCTCGTTGTTACGTAAGACGATGGCAGAGGCGATTCTTCGTAACTTTTTCTGGAAAACCGTTGAGTGTATTAATTTACAACTTCGCGGAGCTGTTGATTTATATTTGAGGCGTGGTTGGTTTCTTTTCATTCAAAATGTGATCATTCGATTCGATGTTACGATGGTTTTATTAAAACACCTCGAGAAATATAATTAATTTAAGATATATTATATAAAGGATAATCGCGCAATCCAATTATTACAATTTAAAGCGACCTATATGATTTTAGCAATAATATACTTCTACAAATTCAGTTCAGAAACTTCTAAAAACATTTTTTAAAAGCAACGCCTGTCTCCGATGCGAGCGACATGTATAAAAACATGTCGCAAACGAAGTGTAACATTATAATTAAAAATCAAAACCGATGCTGTGTGCACAATTTCGTTAAAATCCCGACGAAAACAGAGGCTGTCGATCAGACTTCTGAAACAGCCCCGGCTTTGTGAACGATTTCATCGAATGCGATATTAAAATTTACTAAAACGGAGGCTGTCGATCAGGATTTATTGAATATAAATTTATACATCGGCATAGGCGCCATGCTGGCTCATTAGCAGGCTGCGAATTTTTATGAAATTTGGAATTTGACGCGATTAATTTCCGGTGATCGATTTTCATTTATAATCTGACCTGTGAAAGAGAATTTTAATTGGACAGATATGACGAAAAAAAAGGGTTATTGAACGTCCATCGAGATTCGTAATTCGTAGATTCATAAAAACCTAAGTCTGCTCGCTGAAATTCTCGATAAACTAATTTTCTGCAT